GCTACCAGAGCTCCTCATAAAAAATTAGACATGCTAAATGAAGAAAAACACAGTCTGAAGAGACAATGCAAACATCAGAATCAGACACAGAAACAGCAGAGGCTGTGCAATTAACAAACTGGAAACTTAAATATGATTACTATGTTTATCTGGAAGGAGCTCTGGTGGTATAGTGGACAAGGCATTTTGGCTGCTAACCAGAAGGTCAGCAGTTCAAACCCACCAGCTACTCTACAGAAAGATTTACAGCCTCAGAAACCCAATGGGGGTCATTATGAGTCAGAATTGACTTGATGGCAGTGGGTTTTTTTGTTTGTTTTTTAGGCTTATTTGGAGCTCTGGTGGTGCAGTGCCTAAGGCATTTGACTGCTAACTAGAAGACTGGCTGTTCAAACCCACCAGCCACTCCAAAGAAGGAAGATGAAGCAATCTACTTCCATGAAGATTTACAGCTTTAGACACCTAATGGGCATTGCTATGAGTCAGAGTTGATTCAGTGGTAGTGGGTGGGTAACAGAAATGAAGGCTGCCTTTCAGGCTCCTTAGTGGACTGTACAGTTATTGAGGAAAGAATCGGTGAGTGTGAAGATATCCATAGAAACTTCCCAAAGTGAAATACAAAGAGAAGGAAAAAAAAAGAAAGAAAGAAAGGCTATCTAAGACAGCCTGTCTGGGTATAAAAGGTGTAACACAGGTACAATATAGGTACAATAGGAGTACAAAAAGAAGAGAGAAAGAAGCAAGAAAATGTCACCGTAGGCATGGCTGAGAATTTTTCAAACTTAGTGACAGAAACCAAACTGCATCTCCAGGAAACTCAGAGAACACCAAGCAGAATAAATACCAAAACATTTACATCTAGGTCTATGATATTCAGACTGTAAAACACCAAAGACATAGAGAAAATCTTGAAAGAAGCCAGAGAGGGGAAAAAAACTTTCCTAAAGAGGAACAAGGATTAGGACTATACCCACCATCTAGTCAGAAACCATGCAAGCGAGAAGATGAGTGAAATATTTCATGTTGAAGAAAAAAACCCACCAACTGAGAAATTTGAACCCATTGGAATTCTCCTCCCAAAGTGAAGGAGAAATACTTTCTCAGAACAAGGACACCTTGAGGGAATTTGTTACCAGTAGACCCACCTTGCAAGAAATATTAAAAGTTCTTCAGAGAGAAGGAAGATGCCATAGATCAAAAGCTTGGATGGACATAAAGACAGAGTATCAGGGCAAGAATAAATAAAGGTGACATACAATTTTTATTTTTCTTTCAGATGTAACAGCAGTTTGTCAGAGTAACAATAGCAGCAGTGTCTTGGGTGAGATGAAAGGCGGAGCTCAGAAATCCCATCAGGGGCTCTGTCTTCCTCTCTCTTTTGCCGCCTCTGCCATCCCCTATCTCTGTCTTGTCTCCCTCCATCTCCCTGCATTTCTCTTTCTCTCTGCCCCATTTCTGTCTTTATCTCTGATTCTGCCTCCGTGTCTGTTTTTCACCGTCTCTTTCTGTTTCTCCCCCACCTTCTTCTGTCACTCTGTGTCTCTCTGTAGGTCTTTCTTTATCTGTTTCCCTCTATTTATGTTTCCCTTGAGCTCTCTTAAAAAAAAAAAAAAAAGGAGGAAAGGAAAGAAACCCCAACAGAATGTAGCAGTAGTTCAGGAAGTTGGAGACCCAGTCCGTCTCTCACTAGCTCTGAGTCTCGTCTCTGTGGGCCCCAGGGGCAGGGTTCCAGAAGCCCAAAGGACGCCGCCTGCCGCCGCGTCTTCCCCCTTCCAGCAGGAAGCTTGCAGACACCGCCAGAGCCTCGGAGTGTGGCGAGGATGCCCCACTGAGGCGGAGCCCCCTCCTGGGATGCCGGCTCTGGGCGGTGGGCAGTGGTGGGAGGAGGAACAGGAAACAAGGCCAGGGCGCAGGAGGCAGGCGGAAGGGGCTGGAAGAGTTTAAAGGCCATTGGGGGTGGGGTAGGGAAGGCAGGCGGGGAGGAGGAAGGAAAGCGCTCACCGCTGCTCTGGAGACCGGGCGGCGCCACGCAGGACGGGTGGCGGTTTCCACGGAGCTGTGCTGTGGGTCCCCATCCTCCTTTCTGTATACTGTGTGTTTAAACAATGTACAAGTAACAGAAAGGTCTAGTTCATAGGCCGTATCATGGACAGTCAGTGATGCATACCTTGACGTTTGTCTGCGTGCAAAAACCAAAAAGCAGTTAACTCGTGCGCCAGAGTTAAACCGCTGCATAGGGTTTTCAATGGCTGGTTCTGTGGCAGCAGATCAGGCCTCTTTTCCAAGGCACTTCGAGGTGGACTTGGATCACCACTTGGTTAGCCGCTGGGCGCCGTTAATCACTGGGACCGCCCCCCCAGGAACTCCTACTAAAATAATACAAACCACTCATCCTCTCCGCGTAACTTCCCGCCCAGCGTATTTGTACCGCGTTTTAGAAATTGCCTGAACGAGGAGTGTGTACCTGGACTCGGGCCCGCGAGCGGGCGGTGCCCACCCTGGCCGGGGGCTGTCAGGGGCGGCTGTGGCCCAGACCCTGAAGGAAGGCTGTGCCGCGCGCGCCGTCCACCAGGCGGCTTTGGGCCCAAGTGGCACCACATCGGGCGGGCGGCGAGTTCAGACTTCACTGGCTGAGGAAGGGGTGGTTTCCACGCCAGCGCGGGCTCGGGGCAGGGCGTGTGCGCGCGTGCGCCCGGTTGCGTTGGGTGGGCGCGGAGGTGGGGACGGAACGCGCGTGCGCGAGCACTCACTCTCCGGGGCGGGCTGGGGCTGGGCGCGGCCGCGTCGCGTTCTCGCTCGCAGGTCCCCGGCACGCTCACACAGCGGGGTGTGCGGACCTGAACCCCATCCCTGATTCCCTCGGCTCCCTCGTGCAGCTCTGCCATCTGCCTCAGGCCGTGCCGGCTGCCAGGACCTGTGCTCCAGGCACAGTGGTCACAGGGGGCCGCCCGGGGGCGTCTGTCTGCCCGGCCGAGCTCCTTTTCCCGCGAGATCCTGCGCCGACTGCTCTCGGAAGCGGCATGCACTTTAGTGCGAGCGCAAAGCAGGACACCCGCACACACGAGGCAGCCCTGTCTCCAGCGCGTCCGTGTCAGAAAGGGGAGAAACGTGCAGGAGGCCCTGGGCCCGCTCCTCGCTGAGACGCCCTCCCCTCACATCGGGCTCGTTGCGGAAGTCCGTAGGCAGGGACTCGGGGGCCTGCTTGCCGCGCAGTCCCGGGGGGTATAAACGGTTTGCGTTTGACCGCTCACAGAGCCTTGGCTGTTGGAACCCGCCCAGGCGCGGGAAAGTAGGCCTGACACTCCGCTCTGCTAAAGACCGCAATCAATGAAGCTCTATGGAGGTCTCATCTCTTACACGGGGTCGTTACTCTCTGGCATCGGCTAGATGGTGATGGGTTTGGGTTCTTCCGGTTGCAAAAAAGAGAAAGACACGCCTTGGGTTTGACTTGTTCTTAAGGAAACGTCCTGGATTAAAATGGCCCATTACAGAACCTCCTTTTGTCCCTGTGGTAGTGATGTTTGTGTGGCAATGTGGCTGGGCCTGGTTGAGTGGCTGGGCAGCTGGTGGTAGTTACTCCCCATGATGAGACTGGCCATCAACTCCATGGTGGGATCTACCACAAGCAGCTGAGTAGCTGCTTTAGGGACGTGGTCTGCTTCCTTGTAAGACACACCCTTTTAAGGGAGATGTGTGCCCTAGCCTGAGGCTGCAGCCAGGTGTGGTGGAACTAGTCCCCGCAGCACTTCTGTAGTCAGGGACCAGCACAGGCGGCCAGCTCTGAAAGCACTAGTTTTGAAATCAGCGTTGAGCGGCTACTTCCTTCCCCGGAGACCCGGATTCAAAGATGCCGTGGCGGCTCTTGCTGACTGACGGCGTTCTGTTGCGAGTTCAGCGGCAAAGGCGCTTCTCCTAGCGCTGCGGAGTCCATGCCTCTGCCCCTTGCTGTGAGCACTCATTCTCAAACTTGTCCTCCTTTGGGCACTTGGCTTTGCAGTGACTTGTTACTACAGGTGCCTGTCTTCCAGGCTATAAAGGAGCCCTGGTAACACAGTGGCTAAGCGCTTGGCTGCCAACTCAAAGTTCCGTGGGTCAAACCCACCAGCCACTGCAGTGTGGTAGTCAGCTTCCGTGAAGACAGCCTTCGAGATCCTCTGCAGCAGTCCCCTAGGGGCGCTGAGCATTGGAATCAAATCCAGGCAGTGGGCGTGGTTTGGGCTTGGCTTCCCTGAAGATTGACAGCTTTGGAGACCCTGTGGGGCAGTTCCACTCTGTCCTCTAGGGGCACTGTGGGTCAGAATGGACTCCAGGCAGTGGGTGTGGTTTGGGCTTTGCTTCCGTGAAGATTGACAGCCTTGGAGACCCTGTGGGGCAGTTCCACTCTGCCCTACGGCATTGCTGACCGGGAACTGACTGGAGGACAGTGGGTTTGGTTTGGCTTCCGACCAGACTGTCAGCCCCATGAAGGCAGCTGGATGGTTCCTTTACCGTGAAACTCAGAGCACACTGTGGGGCCGGCCCACGACACAGGCATCCTTCTGGAGAACTCAAGTCTCTGCTGGCTTAGAAATTCCAGCTTTCCCAACCTTCATCACTTCCCCTTCATTTGTTTCACGTCTTCAGTGTCTTTCATTCTTCAGTGTCGTCTGTCATGTTTTATGATCCACACAGTCAAATTTGGGAGCTCTGGTAGCATAGTGGCTAAGAAACTTGACTGCTCACCAGAAGGCTGGCAGTTCAAACCT